AAAATGGTTATAGAAAAGGTTAAGTCTTCCATAAAAGTTAAAGCATTTAATTGGAGTAATGCAAATGTTAAGGGTATGAAACATGAACTTTCAAAAGTTGATTGGAGGAGACTGTTCGCAGGTAAAAGGACGTCTGGCAAGTGGGAGGCGTTTCAAGAGTGTGATGACAAGAGTTTAGAGGCATTTTGTTCCTTTTAGAATGAAGGGTAAGGCTGGTAAGATTAAAGAACAATGGATGAATAAAGATGTTGAGGTTCTAGTCAAGAATAAAAGAGAATCTTATTTTAGATATAGACAACATGATTCAATTGAATCCCTTAATCAATATGAAGAGTGCAGGGGCATTCTTGAGAGAGAAATCAGGAAGGCAAAGAGGGGATTTGAATAGCGTTGGCAGATAAGGTTAAGGATAATCCGAAGAGATTTGACAGATACATTAAGTGCAAGAGGGTAACTAGAGAGAGAGTAGGGCCTCTTAAAGATCAAGGAAGTCATCTTTGTGTTGAACCCCAGGAGATGGGAGAGATACTAAATGAATACTTCATGTCGGTTTTTATTGTGGAGAAAGAAATGAAGTCTAGAGAATGCAGAGAAATAAACTTTGATGTTTTAAAAATAGTTCACATTATAGAAGAGAAAGTTTGGGAGGTCTTAGAGAATATAAAGGTGGATAAACTCCAGGACCTGAGCTAATGTATCCCAGAATGCGTGGGAAGTAAGGGAGGCCATTACAAGACCCCTTACAGAAATATCTGCATCATCTACAACTACAGGTGAGATGCTTGATGACTGGAGGGTGGCTAATGTTGTACCCATGTTTAAGAAAGATTGTACGGAGAAACCAAGGAACTACAGACCTGAGAGTCTGACTTTGGTTGTGGGTAAATTGTTGGAGGTGATTTTAAAAGATAGGATTTATGGATATTTAGAGAGGCAAAAATTGATTAGGGATAGTCAGCATGGTTTTGTGGGAGGAAAATTGTGTCTCACAAATGTATTGAGTTTTTTGAGAAGTTACCAAAAAGGTTGATGATGGCAGAGCAGTAGACATTGTTTATTTAGATATTAGTAAAGCCTTTGACAAGGTTCTGCATGGTAAACTAATTAGTAAAGTTAGGTCACATGGGATTCAGGGTGAGCTTATCAATTGGATACATAATTGGCCTAATGGCAAGAGACAGAAAGTAATGGTAGAGGGTTGCTTTTCAGACTGGTGGCCTGTGGGACTAGTTTAGTTTGGAATTATGTTCGGTATGGACTTATTGGACCAAAGGGTCTGTTTCTGTATAACTCTATGATTCTTTAAATTAATATTCCTTTTTCCTCCAGTATGATTACCTCTAAAGAATACCTCTTTGCCTGAGCTTTTTGTTTTCTGCTCTGATCTCCTGATGTGGTTCAATGTTAAAATTTGCTTTACAATATTATTTTGAGTTATGTTAAAGATGATACATATACCAATTGTTGCTCTGCAACACTGCCTTGTGTCACCAAGGGTAGGAAGTAAGTTTGGTATTCTTGAGATTTATTTTGAGGGGTGCAAGACAAAAAAAAGAGCAGAACTCTTTATTCAACAATACTCAAGTTCTGTACCACTAAGCGACTACCTTTATACATTTTTACATAGGACATACAAATGCATAATATTTTCAAAAACAAAGTTTCTGTTCCTAGATGGTGACCTCAAATAGCATGGATTGACTTGAAATAAAAATTTCAATCAAAGCACTTTTGCTTCATCCAATCTGAAATTACACTGCATGAAAAATGATGCAAACTTGCTTCTTACCCCTTGGTGACACAGGGAAGTGGTGCAGAGCAACAATTTGTATGTATGCATGCATCATTTTAACATGATAAATTGTTTCAAAGTGCTTCAAATTAATATTATAAAGCAAATTTTGACACTGAATCACATCAGGGCATGGGAGCAGAAAACAAAAGTACTCAGCAAAAGAGGTATTATTTGAAGATAATTTTACTGGAGGAAAGAAAGATAGGCAGTCAGGCTTGGGAGAGCATTACAAACCTTAAGACTGGCAGCTAAAGATATGACCATCAATGGTGGAACGGCACACAATAACAACGTGTGTACAGTGTTGTAAAAAGAAAATAAACTGCTTCACAAGAATATTGTAAAAGTATGATGCTCAGCCACATTGAGGATACTCCCACAGTATCACAGAATTTGTTACTGTGCTACAGGCCATTTGGCCCATCATGTCTGTACCAGTTCCGAGCATTTTAATTTAGTGCCAATCTTCTGTGTTTTTCCAATGATCCTGACATTGTTTCTATTTTAATACTCCTAATGTCCTTTAGGGAAGGAATTTGCCATCCTTACCTGGTCTGGCCGACATGTGACTCCAGATCCACAGCAATGTGGTTGAATCTTAACTGCCCTCTGGGCCATTAGGGATGTGCAATAAATGCTGCCTGGTCAGTGATGCTTTCATCCCATGAATGAATGAATAAAGAGTCATCTAATACCCTCTTGAATGTGTTAATTGAACATGCCTCCATGACACTTCTAGGCTGTGCATTCCAGACATTAAATGCTCAGTGTGAATGTTTTTTTTTCACCTTTATTTGCCTCTTTTGTGAAAAATTTCATAATTGTGCCCTCTGGTTCCAATCTTTTTTTGAGCCCGAATAGTTTCTGCTTATCCGTTCTGTCCAGACCCCAATGGTTTTGAAACCTTGCATCAAATCTCTCTTAGCTACCTCCCCACAAGGAAAACATTCCCAACTTCTCCAATCTTTCCACATAGTTTTATCCCTGAACAATTCTCATAAACATCTTCTGCACTCTCTCCAATGCATTCACACCCTTCATATATACAATGTGATGCTGAGAACTGCGCACAATACTACTGCGGAAATCTAACCAGCATCCTGTGCAAGTTTATTATAAACGCCCTTGCTCTTGAATTCTGTGCCCCTATTAACTGAAGGCTAGAATATTGTACGCTTTATTAACAGCTCTCCTCACCTGTCTGTCCTCACAGCTTTAATGACTTATGTATATATACAGCCACGAGTCTGTCCCTGCACACTGTTTAGAGTAGAATTCTATTCTATTCTATTGTGTCTTTCCACATTCTATTTTTATTTTAACCATAGAGTTCTCTTACACATTACAGAATCTTGCAGGTTTCTTCACTTTTACACAAGCCAATGGGAACAGTGTCATAACTTTTAACTAAACAACCCTCCGACTGTTCTTACACACCTCACCATTGTGGACAACTTAGCTAAAGCACAGGCCTCACTGCACCCTTGTTTAATGTCTCTAACTCAAAATATTCCTGATTCTTGTAGCCCTTTGCTTCTGGCAGATTTTTTCTTTCTGTTTCCAAATATTCGAGCTCCAGACATGAACTGCCCATTTCAAAGTTGCTTCCAAGCTCACAAACATTTCTATGAGAAAACAAACACAAAACCCAAAAAAAAAGGAGCTCCTGGTATAGATAGTAAGAACTGCACATGCTGGAGTCAGAGAAAACACAGTGTGGAGAAATCTCTGAAGAAGGGTTCCGACCCGAAATGTCTACTTTCCTGCTCCTCTGATGCTGTCTGGCCTGCTGTGCTCCTCCAGCTCCACACTGTGTTATCTTGAGCTCCCGGTATAACCTATTTTCATAGCAACGTAGCAAGCCTGGGATGATCTAGACAGAAGTTTAAACCAATTGCCTTCAATTTTAAACTACCTTTTGATGTGAAGGATATGTGGATACTTTAAAATTTTGCCTTATTTACCCATTGCTTGCAGTATTTTCTCTGATCTGAAAATAATGAACTATTTAAACCTCTAATAAAGATAACTAGAGGCATCTCGTCTCTGCTAATGAACGCAGAATGGTGTCACCAATTGTTCATTGTTCAATTGTTTTGACACTTCTAACTCTGCCCTTATCAAATAAGCACAAACCATCTTTGAAATGGCAGTATTTTAGATGCATTTACCAGCCATTTCCATTACATTTAAATTTCAACCCCAAGCGAAAAGATCTATTCCTAATAAAATATACTAATTATTAGACAATTTTGCAAAATCAAGAATGCTTAAGAGGCCAGAATTAGAACAGTAAAAGTAGTCAGGTTATTGTTAGGCTAGAGGGGGGATAGGGACAGATAAAGCTATGAACGAAATTGAAACTTTAAAGTTGAATCATTGTCCAACTGGGAATCACTGAGGTCAATGAGCAAAGATGAAGGGGAGCAGAACTTTGTGTGAGCTAAAATATGGAGAGTAGGGACTTGAGTGTTGGCATAGGTGAAAATGAAGATCAGCCATTAGTGTGCTTAAATGGTCCAGTCTACAGCTAAATGTAAACAAAAAGGTGAGGGTTCCAAAGATTAACTGAAGCATGGCATCAGTGTAGGGCAACATTACAGAAGTAGAAGTATTTGGTCTTAATGATAGACCAGATATATGATTGAAACTTGCTTTTGGTTTAAAATACAAGACCAAAATTGCAAACAATCTAGCTCAGCTTTAAGCAGTTTCCAGGCAGCAGGATGGAAATGATTCAGAGATAGTAGGAACTGCAGATGCTGCAGAATCTGAGATAACAAGGTGTAGAGCTGGATGAACACAGCAGGCCAAGCAGCATCAGAGGAGCAGGAAAGCTGACGTTCCGAGCCTAGACCCTTCTTCAGAAGGGCCTAGGCCCGAAACGTCAACTTTCCTGCTCCTCTGATGCTGCTTGGCCTGCTGTGTTCATCCAGCTCTACACCTTGTTATCTCAGGATGGAAATGATGGTCAGATAATTCCTTCGGTGATAGTCAGAGTCAGAAATCTGCTATATTGGGCAACTTCTGATATACAAAAAATACTTTGAAATAGCTTAAAGTTTAGAAAGCCCGATTTACTTTTATTTTGCTATGTTAACATTCATTTTTTTTAAATTATTTACTTGTATTTAATTTTTCTACATTCTCTCATTTATATGACGTGTGCAATGTTGAGAATGAAAAATCTTTCAACTTTTTTTACCTCCATTACATTTGGGTTCAGCACAATTTTCACCACTCATTAGAACCAAAGACCCTTTTGGGGCCCAAACTGAGGCTTGCCACTTTGCCATTGCTTCTGGGGGCTCTTGACAAGGAAATAATGCTCTGTTGTTGATTGGAGATCCTGATGTATACACACATGGCCTGAAATATAAAAGGATTGAATAAATGTAATACAAAATTTTAAACAGCACATTAGTGTCACCAACTCATCACTTATTTGAATGAAGACAAAATACTGTGGATTTTGGAAACCTCGAACAGAGATGGAACGCTGGAAAAACACAGGTCTCTCACATCCGAGGAGACAGAAAGACTTAATGTTTCAAGTCTGGCATGACTCTTCCGTGCATTTATTCAGTCTGGTAGCACTAATATAGATCACTTGACCTTCATGCAAGAGTCAAAATTCAAACTTCAGCCATTTTCAATAGCAAGTTTTGAGTGCTCTTGCAAGAAAGAGCAAGCAGGAGAGAGGGCAAAATGGGCAGATGGGGAAGAGTGAGAAAAGGCTGAACTTAACTGCATTTTCACAACCTCAATGACGTGACCACAACAGGACTGGAACCCGCAATTGGAACAACTTTACATTAGCATTTGGTCATCTCCACATTTACCATCCAATTAAGGATGGTAGGTGAGAGTATGCTGAGGAAGGCCCAATAAGAGGGACTAAAACATAGTCAGTCTCTCTACTGAAATGACTGTGGCTATGGCTGCACCCATTTCAAACTCACTGTCATCAGGTATTTTAGAACCTCCAAATGTTCTCAACCTGTAGTCAGTAGGTCATTTCTGTGCAGAATACAGGCATGGCAGAACAACATGATGAAATGATTCCACTGGGAACTGCTCCCAAAAGGACTCCTAACATTGAATTCCATCAACATTTTCTTAAATTTCACCATTTTATTAACAATCACAGCAAAGCATCATTCAAAATAAGAATTGCTTCCTATGCTTCCAATTTAATAGTGTATGCAAATTTGCATATCACTACCTTCAATCCTATATTCAAGTAATGAGGCAACACAAGGAATCCAAGAATATTACTATGAGTTCCTGCTAACCCCTCCCCCCAGAAAAATTGGTCTATACTTGTTCACTTCATTCCCTTCCCCTAAATCCTTTATTTTGTTTCCCCAGAGGTCTCCTGTGTGGTTCATTCCAAAGGGTTTCTCAAGTTTGCCAGAGGCGGGACAGCATCAGGAAAGTGTGCCAACAGTGTTTCACACAGCTTTGCTGCACCCCTTCCCACTGAAATAAGGACACAAGAATTAGGAGCAGGAGCAGGAGCAGGAGCAGAAGCAGAAGATATGGCCTGTCAGTCATGCTCCACCATTCAATACTATTGTTAGAGATCTTGGGCTACAACTTTACCATTTTGTTCATTCTCCTATCACTTAATTCCCTGAGAGATGAAGGTTAATTTCTTCCTATATCAGTCCTAAACTTTTATCCAAAGACTGTGCTCCCTTGTTTTTGTTTTCACTGGTTGAGAGATCTCTTAAATGCTAGAAGGTGAAATGAATTTGAAATAAAGTGAATAAAGCCGAAATGACTGAACTTGTAGGGAAAGAAATCAAACAGCACAACTTTCAAACACTAAGTGTCTGCTTGGTAAACCTAACTATCTTATCTCTGCCTCACCACCTTTGATGAGTGCTACTCCATTCTTAGCTCTCAGCAGGGTAGGTTCTTTGGTGCTTTTATTGTAGATGGTTTTGACTGCTCTGGAGAATCTACAGACATCTTGCTGCTAGTGAGTTGCTGGATTTTCTTTACCCGTTCCATCCAACGCACTTATTTTTTAAGCCACTGTTGTGGATTTGTTGGATTGTTGGATTTTGTTGGATTTCAGCCCTTTGTCTGCAGACCTGCTTTCTTTCTGTCAAGTTCAGGCATTTCTGAACACCATGCACCTGCAATTTAGTAGTTCCTGAATTTCCTGGTCATTCTTATCCAACTAATCCTGATGGTGCCTGGATGGGAAATCAAATGTCTGTTTTCTCTGATGCTATTTATGGTGGCCTTGGGGGTAGACCAGGAACTGTGGACAATCTATAGTTGCTGCCCAATGATCATCACCAGGCTGTCTGTGAGGCAGAGTAGGTTGTTCTTTGCAGAATTCTTTAGTCCCTTAACATTTAATTGGTAGCACTTCCATTGTCGCTGCTGCTTTTGGGCCAGGCCATGGTAGATAATTTACCAGATTAGGCAATGGTCAGTCCAGCTGTTGTCAGCTCATCATGATGCAGGTCACACAGACATCTGCAAGTTTGTCTCCAAGATGGCAGCACAGTAGGACTCCTGTGTCGGAGCTCATCTATTCCATTCATTTATTTGCTCCCTCTTTAAATTTTATTTTTTCTTTTTACCTCTCATCCTTGGATGGCATCGGCGATGTCTGGGATGAAAGCCAGTGCAGACTCAAACTCCTGGCCTCAAGCGGGAGCCTGACGTGAAATGGGTTGGAAAGACTGTTATTCTGAATTCTTATTTTTCTAGTTTATTGCTGGACTTTTTATTACTTTATTTTTCTAACCTTTTCCCTCCGAATTTGTACTTAATAATCTGTACCTAGATAACTTGGTGCCTAAGATGGCACCGTAAGTGGTGAACTGTAAACTTTTCATGTACTTTTGTGAGTTCATGTGACAATTAAGCTAATTCTAATTCTAAATCCTGGCAGTCCCTCAATTGAATGATGATGTAATCAAGCAGGTGCCAATGCCTTGAGTGACAGCGTTACCATGAAGTTTTGATTTAGTCCCACCAAAATGTACATCCTAGTCCATGTCCTAAGCATTTCAACAGAAAGAGGTCTCTTAACGCTTGCTTTCCCTATGGCTTCTTTGCCAATCAAGATTTTCCAGATTTTTGCATCTCTTCCAAATCTAGTATTAAAATCACCAAGGAGAGCCAGTTGGTCTCCTTTTGGAGACATAGAACAAGTTAGAAGGCTCGAGTTGAATTTCACTTTGATCTCATCTGTTGCTTCTAGGATTCAGGTGTACGCACTGATAACTGTGGTGTAATGCTTCTGGGTTAGAGTGAACTGAAGGGTTACAAGACTTTCATTTATCCCACAGGGTTTACTGAGACATTAAGTTTTTGCTAACATTGCTTTTTATGGCAAAGCCAAACCCATGGAGTCTGTGATCATCATCTTTCTAGGAGAAAGTGTATTCATCACCCCATATTCTAAGTTGAACATCTCCTACCAGTCGTGTCTCACCCAGGAGAGCAACATTGCTATTTGTGTGGAATTCCTGGGCTATGAAACACAAGAATTTTCAATGCATTTTGAAATGGAATGGGCAACCCACTCAGTAATTTTAATAAGCAGATTATGAAACCATGGTGAAGGATCAGGGACTACGGTGAAGCTGAACTCAGCAAAGAGATGAGGTAAATTGCAAAGTCATGCATCTACTTTGATTTTAAAATGAAGGTTGTAGAAGGAACAAAAGACATAAGGAAAAGGAATTCAACTGTTCTGCAATCAGCAACAGAATTATTTAAAAGTCAGCACTTAGATGAAGAAACTTGATATCAACTTTGATGCAGGGAGAGCCAATAATAAAATGTTCACAACTTGATTGTTTTCTAACCCACTCTCTTACCCACCTACCTTAAAAAAGAAAAACGTGGAACTTGAAAATGACTGCTTGTGGATTAAATTAGTTCTCAGAAATAAAGCGAAGAAGTGCAGAATAAAGGCAAGAGATTAAAACAAATGAAGAAAAGTCTTATATGGAAATGACTGCTTTCAAAATTACATTTATTGTCCATGACACAAACATCAAGATCTTGCATAAAAAATCTGATTATTAAAAAAATTATGACTAAGCACCCTGCTGCTTAAGCACAATTTTGCAGTATTGCTTGTTTTCTTATGCATTACCAACTAAAACACACTACTTAGCCTCAAGCAAGAAGAATATCAGTAGTATGCAACCATACAAGGGAATGCCAACACGGTCAAGAATAGAACAAACAAAAACAGAAACTGGAGAAACTCAGGAGGTTTGGCAGCATCTATGGAGAGAAAATAGTTAACGGCTCAAGCCAGTGACCTTCTTCAGAACTCCAGTCAAGGGCAGTTCTGTTGCCACCCATCAATAAATTAGAACATCCCAGCAGGAACCACTGAACAGGTACAAGATTCTCTCTCTCACTCCCTCCCTCACCCCCTGCCCCCATTACCCACACCATCCCCCAAGAAAACAAAACAAAGCCAATTGCAGTTTCCCCACCATTAATCTGGCTAACATCCATACAAATTAGATAGTTAATTTTGTAACCATTCAGCTCAGTTAAGGAGCAGCACTCTTGCATTCAAGTCAATAAGCCTTGGCTTTCATCCTCACTTCAGTACAAATTGATGCTGATACTTGAGCAATGCATGCAGTGACAGCTGCATTGTATTTCCAGTGAAACGTACAAACCATTATATGAATTAGAACAGGAGTAATCCATTCAGCCCCTTTAGTCCTCTTTGCTATTTAAACAGGATTATGTCTGATCGGATGGTGGCCTCAACTCCAACTTCTGGCCTAATCGAATACCTTCAACTCCCTTCTTAGTCAAGAATCCACTTATCTCTCCATTGAATATTTTTAATGACCTGCCATCACTAGTATCTGGCGAAGAGTTTCACAAACTCATTAATCACAGATAAAAATTTTCATGTCCGCCTTAATTGGGAGATCTGTTTTTTTAAAGAAACTTCATCCCCTCGTTCTAGTTTCTCTAAATATGGGGAAACATCCTCCCAGCGTCCATCCTATTAAGTCCTCTCAGTATCTGATATGCTTTAAATTCACCTTTCATTGGTTGAAATTCCAATGGATACAGGCCCAACCTTTCCTCATAGGTTAAGCCCCCCATTTCAGGAGTCAACCTGAGGTCCTAAAGGCTTGTTCAGGTGGATGCAATGATGCACCATATTATCCAAGGAAAAACAAAAGGATTCTCTAAGTGTCAGGTATCAATATTTATTTTTAAACAAACAGTGTATGAAGGGATTATAAGCTGGCCATTTATATAATCTAGGCAGAATATAGCTGCTCTATTTCCCTTGATAAGGGTAACTAATTGACTGTGAAATTCTTTAGGACTTGAAGAACGTGAAAGACATCATTTAAATTCAAAGTTCTTTTTCTCCTTTACCTGTATGGCTTAATTCTACCTTTGGTCGTGCAATTATATCAAAAAAAAGCAATGATTATTTTGGTTAGATAAATAGCTGACTATTTATCGAGCCTGAAGATATGAAAACCAGAAATAAATCTGATGATGGAGACAAACTTTTGCATAGTGACTATTTCTACCAACATAGCACCAGTACCATGTTTAAGTTAGCCTTGTGACATGATCAGCACAGTGATTAAACAATGATTTTCAAACCAAAAGAAGCAACATAATGTAAATATTGCTGTTTGACTTTTTTTTAAAAGAGATAGAGAATAGTGACATCTATGTAAATAATTGTGAGTATATTTAGGGTATAAATAGCATGCACTGCATGCTAATGAGCAGCAGCATTTTCATGCAGTGACTGGAAAAATACACCCTCACTATTGATCCTCTGCATTCATTATTTATAGGATTGAGAAATGTGAGTTAAATCAGGATAACTGCAACATTTATAAACAGTTAATTCAGGTATCTTCACCCTACTTTTGTCCAAATTCTAGCAACTTTTGATCTTAAAGAGAGAGAGAGAGAGAAAGAAAATAGGCCGCAATGAATTTTAACATTAATCTGATTCTGTGCTAATGCTATTTATTACATAACAAAACAGACCACCACGCAGCATCAGTCTGTGTCAGTTCTAGTATGGATCAAGTATCATAGATTATGCATGTAATAAGAAAATGAATTTGAATGTCGTTACAGACCAGACCAAACCCCCCTCAAAATATATGAAGAAGACTGTCTAGACCTTGGCCTTTTCTTATTTTAAAGGCAAGTGCCAGGTATTGCATTCCAGATTCAATTCGATTAGTCAAGCTACTAGATTTGAAGCAAAACACACTTTATTCATACACTCTAGTTAAAATACAACAAAAGAAAGAAATTGGAATAATTTAATTCGATAGAAAACTTAACAGAATAACATATTCTTTAACTACTAAATTGCTCTAATATAGTAACATCACATAATCACACCTTTGGCAAAAGGCATGTTCAGTATTGTCTCACACGCAATTCTACAGCAGAAAGAGAACCCCCAGCATTTAGCTGTAACTGACAGAGGGAAAATATCCAGTTTCAAGAACCCAGCAGCTGCTACTGAAACTAAGACTAAAAATCCTGGTTCTGTGGGAGCTTGACCCACCCATTCAGGCTGCTTCTATAGCTCCAACTTTAAAAAACCCCAAGGCCTCACAAGTAGTTTATTTTATGGGCTTTCAATTGCCAGCTCACTACCTCCTTCTTAAAACCTCTCTTCAAAAAAGGACAAAACACACCTCTTAAAGTTACAGCATTGTCACAATATGATGAGCATTAACAAGCAATTTATAGAATCTTAGATACTTTAAACCTCCAATACTAAATAACGTGTCATTACCATGATTAACCCAAACTGGCCAGAACCAGAGGTTTGAGTTGATATTCAATCATACTCACTAAGATTTAAAAAAAATTCAATGACTAGCCATTGTTCAAACACAGTGAATATTTTTCCACCCAAGCTCCATGATAACGTATGATTGGCCAATGAATACCATTATTCGACTAAAGCAGCATTGTTATATGGCAGCAAAACATAACATTTAAAACAATTAATTTTCATTTTGCAATGATTGAGAGTTATGGACAGTTAAGTATTGATCTTGCACCTCTGGAGAGGAGGATGAAAGCACCTTCTTGCTGCCAGATGGAAGAACCAAATGTGTTGTAAGTATGCAATGAGAGCATAAAACTGACCTGTATTCAGTTCTAAATTGGCAATCTCATTCAGAGTCATCACAGAATGACTGGTACGGGAATGGGAAAATAGGCTTATACTGGTTTAGCAGGGTAAGGTCCTTTAAGGGAAGGGCTAAGGTATACTTGAGGAGCTTTTTCTTCGTCTTCATATTAACACTGTACCCATCATGAACATTCCTTGCCTTGATGAACATGAACTTGGCTAAAAGCTTCAAGTTGCAAGTTATTCGACAAATATGCTGTTCAGAATGCTCAAAAGGAGAGAGCAGTTATAGTTAATAACCATATCAAGATTTTCAATAAGGTTCTGAAAATGAACCTTTAATTACAAATAGCTTACAAAAATATCGTAAGCTCAAATGCATCAGTTTTGAAGCACACAAAGCAAAACAGAATATTTTGGCTCATCTGCCATCCAAACAACCTCATATTAATGTCACTTATAGCGAAAGGCATTTATGTCAACGTTACGCACTTTGACTGCCACCAAAACCAGCGCTTGCAGAAGACTGTTACATACAACAGCCCCATGTCCAATCGTATTGCATGTCACTGTAACCAAAATGATTAAATAAGCAATATTTTGGAAGCATCTTCATCAAAGTAGGTTCTAAAGATAAAAGGAATCTATATTCTAAAAGCTGTTTGAAGAAATTACAAAGTGCTATGGGGAAAATAAATGCTTCATTTCATTGCTAAAGCTTTCATTTACACATTATCTTCTATATATTATATTTTTTAAATTGTTTGTAGTCTGCACCATTACCTGAGCACAACAGTTCCATAGGTCACAGAATAAAACTCGATTTCACACATAAAACAAAAATGGGTTCAAAAGTAACCAACCTGCCACTTTGGTCCTTAGTCCACTTCACTGAACCACCCTCCGGCTTTGTTTCATAGTAGATTCGCAATACACGTGGGAAGTCTTTAGGCGTTTGTATCCCTAGTTTCTTTATTTGCAAGCTCCATCTGTCAGTCTGGAACTGCAGTTCTCCACATCCAGGCGCTTTACTGCACTCGAGATAGTAACAATGTTGCTCCTGCCAGCATTCTGCTCCTAAACCAAGAATAGCATCCACAATGCTACTCTGCAGTCGCTGAGAATAAATATTATTTTCTGACGTGGGCATGTCCATTCTGATCAGTTTCTCAATACCTGGTGTAGCAATGACATTCACTTCTTCTACCTTATTCACCACAAGATCACAACAATCCAGCACCAAGACAAAATCTTCCCCATTACTGCACTGTTCCCTTGTACCAGAAATCACACCAGTCCACTTTGCGTTGCTATGGTTACAAGTGTTAACATTAGTAACTCCGCCACCACGATGCTTAGATAGGTTGTACGTCTTATCCACAGATGCAGAAGCAGCAACACTTGCAGTGGAATTGCACGAAGATCCGGGTTGCTCAGTTTCAAATAATGTCTGAGAGTAAGGACAACAACTTGTTCCCACAGAATCAGATTTTTTTTTGTATGTTTTGTTGGTTTCTAGATAAAGAACAATGGTACCACTGATGACTTTTCTGTCAAAGTTCACTGTAAGATCCAGCACATAGTGCCTGACTAACATGGAGCCAACATTTGCCATGAGAGGAAGGTCATCTTTATTGGGGTCAAGAGCCAACTCTGTATTTTCATTCATAGCAGAACAAGGAAATTACTGTTCAACAATATAAAGAAAACATAAATGTAAACAACAGTAATGTTCCAGTGTTAACACTATTTCTTCAGTACTGTTTTGTTGTTTTGAAACACCCAAGGCTTTTGCAAACTGATCCCGTCTTCTGTTTTTGTAGCTATTTGCATTTTCTTCTGTTAAAAGCTGTATACGAGAAAACAGAGAATTACCAATCTTGCAACATATTTGAACTGTCTTTAAAACAACCCTGACGGAGTAAAGTTATACTCTGCAGAGAATTCTATTTTTAGCTTTCCCTACATTACGATGTTTGTACAGAGACCTGGTGCTTTTACCAGAGCTTATCAGTTAAATCTACAATGTCGCACAGTATGAAAATGTGCTATTTATCTTGCTGACTCTCTGCAAGTTTTTTATAAAAAGACATTTGTTTTGGGAGAAGGGAGTGGGAAATGACATCTTGAACACATTAAAATGTTAAGGCTGCTATTAGGGTTAATTTGACAGCTAACCCCCCGAGAGTTTACACTTTACAACCTCAGTGCAGATACTGGCATGAAATCTACCTGGAGTAGTTTTTGTCATGTTGAGACAGATTCAAGCTGCAGAAATATACACATTTATATTTTCCAGTAGGGGCAATGATTAGGTAAAAGTTTTTCCTGCTCCAGCTTGTCAGAATAACTAGATGTTATACCAGATATTATGGAATACAAGAGACTTGAGTAATAGCAAAGAATTACTGTTATTGAAGTCATTATTTGAATTCATTGTAAACTTTTATTAGTATAATAAAGCTGGAATCTTCAAAAAGGTACACTTTTTAGTTTACAGAATTCTTAGCTGAAATACAGAAAACAGTAAGATCTAAAGACAATGTAATCAGAATGGAAACCAACACTAAAAACAAAAAGAAAAACAAAAGAGGAGAATAAGGAAACAATATGTTTTACATGTTGCATGCTCTTTACACTCTTATAAAACAAACATGGAGAAAAAAAAATCATCACAGTAAAAATCTGAAGCACCAAAAATAACAAACATTAAGCCCGCTGTTTTAATACCATAAAATATGAAACTGCATTTAATTAGCAAAGAGGGCAAACAATTTGACATACTATTCTCAGAAACATTTCTGAATCTTTGACAGTATGTATAAAATAATTGCAATGATCTTTAAAATCTAATTAGGTGTAATATGCAAATTTAACTCCAAAGTTCAGAAATTGCTATTCGAAATATCAAACAAGTTGGCTGACAAAAGTTGTAAGCAAATTATGCAATATTTTGTGCAAAAAATGTTATAATTCACGTTTCCTCTGCATGGTGCAAGACCTGCATTAAATTGGAAGTGCACAGAAATTTGTTATATAGAACTTCTTTCATTCATCGTGAATGGTCAGCAATTCCAAATATTGTTTTGGCCTGTTTAATATTGAGGTCAACGAACGAAATTGGTCTAATTATTGCATTTTGGTTTTAAATCTGGGCAGCAATTCAACAAGTTAATTGTTTTTATAACCTTTCAGTGAAAAGAATGAACTTGGCCAAGAGCGCAATTCCCATTCTGCGTAGCATACTGTGCATTGAGGAAGTTTGGAATAAAGACTGAGCAGAAACATTAACACAGGCAGCGCCACAATGTGGCAATGAGTAGTCTGCACACACACTGCAAAGACGCAAGAATCTTTGTTACACATACCAGGAGGCTAATGCACGAACTTATTCTTTTTAAGATTCAATGTGTTCGTGCAACATTGCACTACTGCCTGTAACTACTAAAGACGCATCTAAAGGAAAACTACAAAGGTCTTCTACCATCCATTCCATACTGAATACTGAGCATTGAGCATCTTTTCACGTTTCGTTTTTTTTAAATCCGGAAACTGGAAATGTCAGGGACCAAAGTCTGTGCTGCTCATCACTGATCACGGGATTACAGTGAAACCTACAAACTGGCACAGTGTCACCGCACTGTTATCGGAGCCACTGACCTTATTCAATCGGTCACTGTGTCTGCAACCCTTACACAGAGCACACACACTTCAACCCACCGTCAGGTACAACCTCTCCACATCCCACCGCCGGGCGCACCAAAATCGCGTCATCACTCCGCGACCAACCGGGACCACACCTGCGATGATCCTTTACCGTCAGCAGAGGGCGCAAGCAGGGCCTTCTGACAGAGAAGAGTGTTGGCAATGGATTGGGGCAGTTTTCTTTCCCACTTCTCTCTCACATTGTATGTTTCAATATTTCTATTCAGGAAATGTTATTTTCGCTGCGTCACCTGTGGCTCAATTGGTAGCGCCCTTTCCTCTTGTTCATGAGGTTCTATGCTCAGGGACAAAAGAAATCATGGCTGGTGGTGATGTCATCATTCAAATGAGGTTTTAAGCCAAGACTTCTGTCTCCCTACTCAGGTGGATGTGAAAGATCCCATGGCCTTATTTCAAAGGAGAGCAGGGATTTTATCCCTGATGTCCTGACCAGTGTTTGTTCATCAACCAACTCCTAATCTTCTATACCTCTATCAGGTTCCCCCTCAACATTCTCTGCTCTAAAGAAAACAACCGGAGCTTACCCAATGTCCCTTCATGGCTGAAATGCTCCATCCCAGGCGACAACCTAATGCATCTCCTTTGCATTCCCCCCAGTGCAATCACATCCTTACTGTAGTGTGGTGACCAGAAGTGCACACAGTATTCCAGCTGTGGCCATACCAAAGTTCTGTACAGCTCTAAAATGACCTCTCTGCTCTTATAATCCATGCTACGGCTAAAAGGCATGTGTCCCTTATGCCTTCTTAACTATACTATTAACCCATCCTGCCATCTTCAGGGATATGTGGACAAGCATCCAAGATTCATCTTTTTCTTTGAACTTGTCAGTGTCTGACCATTAATTGAGTTCTCACTTGTTTCGTTTCTTCTTCCAAAGTGCATCACCTCACATTAATCAGGGTTAAATTCCATCAGCCACTGATCTGCCCATCTACCAATCCATTTATATTCTCCTGTAACTTAACATCATCTTCCTCATTGTCAACTACCCACCCAATCGTTATGTCAACCACAAATTTATTTATCATACTGTATATACTCTTATCTACATACTTTATGAATATCACAAACAATAGGGGACCCAGCACTGATCCCTGTGGTACTCCAAGGCACACCGGGCTCAGTCAGACAAACAACCTTCTACCGTCACTCTGTCTCTCCTATCACTAAGCCAATTTTGAATCCATCTTGCCAAGTTAAACTAGATCCCATGAGTATTTACTGTCTTTATCTGTCTCCCATGTGGGACATTGTCAAAGGCCTTGCATTTTTTGTAATCCATTAAACTACATCAACTGCCCTACCCTCATCTATACGCTTCATCATCTCCTTGAAAAGTTCCACCAGACTTGTTAGGCATAACTTCCTTCTGACAAAGCCATGCCGACTATCCCTGATCACATCTTACTTCTCTAAATGGAGATTAATTTTCTCCTTCACTATTTTCTCCAATAGTTTCCCTACCACTGATGTTAGACTCACAGTTTTATAGTTACCTGGTCTGTCTCTACCATTCCTCCTGTAAAGTGGAACCACTTTAGCTGTCCCGCAGTCCTCTGGCACCTCGTCTATGGTCAGAGATGATTTAAAAATTTGGATCAGGGCCCCTGTATATTCCCCCCACGTCTCTCACAACAGCCTGGGATACAACCCATCCAGATCTGGGATTTGTCCACTTTTAAACCCACCTAAACCTCTAATACCTCCTCGCTTCTAAAATGAATCTGTTTAGGAACTTCATAGCACATTATGTACTTGCATCCTCCTCCTCCTGAATAAAGGCAGATGTAAAGTACACATTTAATGCTCTACCAGTGTCTTCCAGCTTCATGCACGGATTGCCCCCTTGGGCCCTAATAGACCCGACGTTTTCCCTGGTTACTCTCTTCCCTTTGATATACTTGTAGAATATCTTGGGTTCTCCCTACTCTTACTGGCCACCATTTTCTCATGCCCCCTTTTTGCTGTCCTAATTGTTTTCTTGAGATCCCCCCTGCAGTTCCTAAACGTCTCTTGGACCTCCATTGTTTTGTGCCTATTATATGTCTCTCCTTTCCTTTTATGCAGTCCTGAATATTGCTAGACATCAATGGTTCTCTGGGCTTGTTGGTCCTATATTTCACCTTAAGGGAAACATGTTTGGCCTGTACTCGCCTCAGTAGCTTTTTGAATACCTCCCACTATTCTGCTATTTACCTTCAAATAGCTGTTCCTAGAATATTTTGGCCAGATTCTGCTGTACTTTAATAAAATCTGCCTTACCCCATTCATAGAGTCATAGAGTTGCATAGCACAGAAACAGATCCTTCAGTCCAATTCATCCATGCCAACAAATTAAATTAATCTAGTCCTATTTGCCAGCATTTGGCCCAAATCCATCTAAACCCTTCCTGTTCATGTACGCATCTCGATGTCTGTACTAATTGCACTAGCCTCAAACACTTCCTCTGGCAGCTCATTCATGCACCACCCTCTTTTGTTTTCTATTCATTTTTTGTAGGATGTGGGCGTTGCTGGCTGGCCAGCATTTCTTGCCCATCCCTAGTTGCCCTTGAGAAGGTGATGGTGAGCTGCCTTCTTGAACCGCTGCAGTCCTCGTGCTATGGGTTGACCCACAATGCTATAAGGGAGTGAATTCCAGGATTCTGACCCAGTGACAGTGAAGGAATGGTGATATATTTCCAAGTCAGGATGGACAGTGGCTTGGAGGGGAACTTGGAGGTGATGGTGTTCCCATATATCTGCTGCCCTTGTTGTTCTAGATGGAAGTGGTCGTGGGTTTGGAAGGTGCTGTCTGAGGATCTTTGGTGAATTTCTGCAATGCATTTTATGGATACTACACACTGCTACTACTGAGCGTCAATGGTGGAGGGAGTGAATGCTTGTAGATGTCGTGCCAATCAAGCGGGCTGCTTTGTCCTGGATGGTGTCAAGCTTCTTGAGTGTTATTGAGGCTGCAATCATCCAGGCAAGTGGGGTGTATTCGATCACACTCCTGACTTGTACCTTGTAGATGGTGGAAGGCTTTGAGGAGTCAGGAGATGAGTTACTCGCCGCAGTATTCCCAGCTTCTGGCCTGCTTTTGTAGCCACTCTGTTAATGTGGTGAGTCCAGTTGAGTTTCTGGTCAATGTCAACCCCCAGGATGTTGATAATGGGGGATTCAGTGATGGCGACACCACTGAACGTCAAGGGGTGGTGGTTAGATTGTCTCTTATTGGTGATGGTCATAGCCTGGCATTTGTGTGGTGCAAATGTCACTTGCCACTTGTCAGCCCAAGCCTGGATATTGTCCAGATCTTGTTGCATGTGAACATGGACTGCTTCAGTATCTGAGGAGTCACGAATGGTGCTGAACATTGTGCAATTATCAGCGAACATCCCCATTTCTGAACTTATGATGGAGGCAAGGTCATTGATGAAGCAGCTGAAGATGGTTGGGCCTAGGACACTACCTTGAGGAACTCCTGCAGAGATGTCCTGGAGCTGACATATTTTGTGGACCATCTTTCATCTTTTCCGTTACAAACCAAAATGTATGGTGTCGTGGTCACTATCACTAAAATGCTTCCCCCGCTGTCACCTTGACCATACGCCCAGCTTCATTCCTCAGAGTTAGGTGCAGCATTGCACCACCCCTTTTACAACTACCTGCATGTTGACATAAAAAGTTCTCCTATATAAATTTCAAGAAATCTGCCCTCTAAACCCATTGCACTCTGATAATTCAAATTAATAATTAGATAGTTGCCTTTGTGACTTGACTACATATCTGCTCCTCAATTATTCATTGACTGTTTGGGGGCCTATAATACTTTTTTTAAATTCTCCATTCATTCATGGGATGAGGGTGTCGATGGCTAGACAGCATTTATTGCCCATCCCTAATTGCCCAGAGGGCAGTTAGGAATCAATCACATTGCTGTGGGCCTGGAGTCACATAAGGACCAGACCAGGTGAGGATGGCAGTTTCCTTCCCTGAAGGAACCAGATGGGGTTTTTCCTGACAATCGACAACAGATTCACAGTCATCATTGGACTCTTAACTCCAGATGTTTACTGAATTCAAATTCCACCATCTGCCGTGGTAGGATTCAAACCCAGGTCTCCAGAACATTATCTGAGTCTCTGGATTAACAGTCCAGTGATAATACCACCAGGCCATCGCCTCCCACTGATAACGTGACTGCCTCCTTTTTATTCCCACAAAATCTCATTTGACAACCCTTCCAAGATTTTGTCCTTCCTTACTGCAGTGACTAACTCCCTAACTAATAATGTGACACCATCTCTACTTTTGCACCATCCCCTGTTCTGCCTGAAGATCATATATCCTGGAATGTTAGGTTGTCAGTCATGTCCCTCCCCCAACCATTACTCTGTGACAGCATTTTATGTGTCAATCCATGCCCTTAACTCATCTGTTTTACCACTAATCCTCCTGGTATTGAAGTAGAGGCCATCTGCCTTGGTTTACTCTCGAGACACCACGTGGCTTAACCCGCTGTGCCTTGGTTCCTTTTCTAATTTATTCTATGTTGCTATGACTCCTGCCCCTGCTGAATTGGTATAATTTCTGCAGGGCTGTCTTGAGGTGCTGTGGTAGTTTCCCTTCAAGTACTCCAAATCTATTGGCTTTCCTCTATTCACCATGAATATTACTTCATTAAAAACTCTAATAAGTCTGCTTTATATGCTCATGGCTCAGGTAATAATTCAGATGATTACTTCCTTTGAAGTTCTACATTTTCAGAACTTGAGGTTCAGCTCAGTGTGTTTATTGGGAGGAGACTGTCATTGTTTTTCCAAATGGATCACCTTTTCACATGTAGAGCTTCAATTCGAGTGATGCATTTTAAAGGTATTTTTCCGTAGGCCTTTCAACTGTCCTCTGTTGTAGGTGTTTTAACTTTTGTGCCAAAAATGCAAGCTTTAGTTGATTTCAATGTAAAATGGGATTTCACCAAGAAACAGGATCTGTGTTGTTCTCCGCAACTGTTTCTTCAGTGTTGTAAATGTTAGAAATGC